GATTTCTCCACCCAGTTCCCCCTGGAAACCCCTCTGAGTGCTTACTGGACACCCCCTGGAAGTCCCTCCGGGTGCCTCTTGGACACCTGCTGCATCAGAGCCCCTGGAGCAGAGGCAGAGCCACAGGCCTGCGGGGTGCCCTGGGGAGTCAGCAGGTACTGCTGAGCCCTGCTTCTCAGAGGGAGGTGGAAGGAGCAAGGGGCTGTGGCCCTGCTTTTCAACTACAGCCCCATGGCCTGTCCCTAACAGTCCATCACCAGGGGGGTCCCCCTAATGTGGCCATTTTGTGTCCTGTCCCACGCAGGCCTTGGGGTACAAAATAGCCAATGGCACCAGAGCAGAACCATGGCCACCTGCCTCCGGGATCGGTTCCAGCATCTCAGGGCCAGGACAGGGCTGTGTTGGGGCATTGAGGGGATCAACTGGGGCTTATTAAACCAGCTGTGCCCATCTAGGAAGGGGAGAGGGCTCTGAGCAGGGCCAGGACACAGGCCAGGGCACGGTGGTAGGGGCTGATGCTGACCTCTGTCCAAGCCACCATCGTGGTGCAGCAGGAGTGAACGCACCTGTGGGCCAGGGATAGTACACAAGAAGCAACCGTGGATCATTTCCTGCCTCAAGCCCGATCCCCTCCAACAGGAGCTCTGGAGACAGGCAGGGCCCCACATGAGCCACCACTGATGGTTCCCTGTGGCTCTGCCCCAGCCTGGCAAACAGCAAAGGTCCCCAGCTGCCCTGCTCCTCTGAAGGGCAAAAGGAAATAAAAATAGTTCCCAAAAGCGATGCAAGCTGGAGAGCAGCTTGTGCTGACAAAGGAAGTGCAGAATCAGGCACCCTTGCTTTGCCAGCCCCTGTGTGGAGCTGGGGAAGAGGAGCCCGGAGGCCTGGGTTCTCCCTTGGCTCTCAGGGGGTGAGGTCTGGGGAGACATAGATGAGGGTCTATGACCCCTGAGTCGTGTTCACATACTCGCTGCCTTGTAGCCAGTCTCTCCTTTCCCCCTCTCAGTGCCTGCGTCTCTATGTGCCATCACCCAGGGCAGCAATGCCAGGCAGCAATGCTGGGCATTACTGCCTCACCCCACAGCGGGCTGAGCTGGGGCAGGAACTCCTTCACCCCAGCACAGAGCCCTCCCGTGGGACAGCGGAGTGGGGCTCAGGATGGGTGCAACTTTCTGGCAGGACTACCCTGGTCCAGTGGCCCCCGCAGGCCTTAGCCACCTCTTTGCAGAGATGGGCAGAACCAGTCATGGCATCCGCTCTGGGGTGGTAGGGGAGTCACAGCCCCATCCCTGGGCTCTGACCCAGCACTTAAAGGCAGGCACCAAGCATCTCCCTTCCCCACTGCCAGCTCCTGTAGCTGCTGCCAGGCTTGTGGCCTCTGGTGTGCTCAGGAAAGCCGCAGCCCCTGGAGAACTGGGATTCTGCTTCCTTGGACAGACAGCGCGTGTGCTGCTATGGAGGAAAGCTCGGCATCGGGGCCCCAGAGTCACCAAGGTGCAACGGTCCCAGCACAAATGCATTGACCCCACAGTGTAGATTAAAGGTAACCTAGACACCCCTCCCTTTGTGGGCCAGAGGTCTGGGGTGGTCCTACATGCCGGAGGCTCCCAGTCACAGCACTGATGACAGAGAAAGAGGGCCTGGGGGGGCAGCCAGGGCAGTCTGCAGATGCCCTGGGTTACTGACGTCCACAGGGCTAGCTGCTCTGAGCTGCAGGGTGCACCCTGGAGGCTGCATCCTGGCTGAGGAAGGTCAGTATTGGGTCCTGGCTGTGCTGAGCCCTTCTGTAGCCCTGGGAGAGACCAATCGCCCCAGACTCTCAGAGAAGCAGGTGGGCAGTGCCTGGCTGGCCCTACACAGACCCCAGCCCCTGGGCAGTGGCTAAGTTGAGCCCTGGGACAGGCCCTGGCAGCTGGTCCTAAGGCACCAGGGCTGGGCTTTTGGAAGTGAGGAAGAGGGGGTGGGGGAAAGTTCCTTCTAAGATGCGTGCGTGCGCGGCCATGCACAACTAAAAGTATGGCCACGCACAGCCTTTTCAAGGCCACGCACCAGTCTGGGGCAGTAGCCTGGCACGGGCTCTGCCAGCTCCGGGGAAGTGCTCCGCTCCCCGACATCAGGGCCGGGGAGTGGCGCACTTCCCCAGAG